ATAATACGCATATGTACATACACATTTGTGATATTTGGAGTTTTGTAGGAAAATTACACAGGTCTTTATATATGCATATTCAAGTCGTAATTACTTTCTTTTAAAAAATATAATTTTGTCCTTGCTGATCTCTGCCATTGTCGGTAACCATCTATTCACAGTCTTTAATACCATAGTTATAAATGTATTATGTTTCTGAGGCAACTCGTATATAAAAGGTTTTGTCCTGAATGACTGACGGTCAACTCATAGCCGAAAATATAGATCGTAGAGAAATTTAAGTTCTCGACCATTTATTCTACCTATAATGCATGATGTGGGATCCATCTTATCGAGCAATTCAAATTTATTTTGAGTTTAGTTCAATTGATGCGGCTGTTAGGCCAATAGACCCATTGTAATATCGCTGTGAGGCTTCTGTCTTCACCTTATAAACGTTAGCTAAGCGAGACAGCTTAAGAAGTGTTTCCCGAGGAACTTGTATCTAGACTTTTCTTCTTGCCAAAAGAGCAGCCTATTATTTTCTCGTGAAGCCACAATAAACAGTGACCTGTTATTACGCCTGTTGTGATGCTAAGATATTTGGATTTTTTCGCCACGTTGCACTTTATCTCATTCCGATATTTAGAGTTTGCGTCTTCGGAAACGGCCAGTTTCAGCATATACTTTCTCGTGGACAAAGGTAAACCTGCATCATATACATGTTTTATTGTGGTTAGAAGGGTTGTTTCCTGATCGAGGGCGTCTGTGTTTTGATATTAATTTCTGTTTGGGATTCTAGTTGAAAAAAGTTACGTTGCGTTGTCGTTGTTTGGACAATGTCGGCAGCGTTTGCCGTTACACCGCATTCTGTGCTGCTAAATTTTCCAATCAATTTATTTCTTGTGAGTCACAACTGTGGTGGGGATAAACTACTCACAGAGGGATGGCTAATCCTATGCATCTGGTTATAATTGCGCTGCATATCTCTACGAACATTATCCCTTTTCTTAGCAAAGATTTTTTTTTAAACTTCGATTTTGTTGTATTTATTGGCTGGTCAAAAGCTTCGTTTCCATTAAATAAATAAAAAAAAATTATTTATTTTTTTATTTTTATAATCTGTCAATCTATTCACTATAACAAAGGTTGTAGTTCTGTTCGGTAACCTGATTGACAGTAAAAATTTTACTGAAGCGTGAGCCAAATATTCAGAAAAATTAGTAACGATAGCGCAATTTTGACGTTTAGTTTGGAGAGAAAGTTGCAATTTCAAACTAACAAGTATAAATAATATTTTCGGATTTTTGTCAACAAACCAAAATTTATTTAAAATATAAATAATATTAGAATCATCGCCCGCACACTACCCAACTTACGTTGAGAAATTGGAAGTTATGAATGTTGAAACCATATAATAGAATATATTCTTATTTTTTACAATGCAAGAAGATTTTCGATTCATTAAATTCACTAAAAATCAGTGTCGCCCAAATACATTGCGAAGCAAGTTTGTTGCAACGGTTACAATGACGATAATGCATTCTTAGACTTCCGGAAGCGATGACGATGCACAAATTAAAGTGTTAGTAGGGAAATGAAGATCTTGCTTGGATTTTATTTAAACAGAATCTATAATAATGTTCAGTTAATTTCAAACTCATTTTCGTATTTCAATCATCCTTTCTGAATATCTAAAATCTAAGCGACAAATTGTTGCAAAGTAAGATTTTTAGTGGTGTATTGAAAAAAACATATTGGTATCTTTATCGTTGGATGTGTATAAAACATGAATAATTTCTTTATTGTTGAAATACAACAGATCTTGAGCACAGTCAATAAATTAAAATAATATAATTGCCATTTTTATTGAAATACTTAAAAGCAGAAAAAGTAAATGAACAGATTCAAATTTAACCTCAACATAGTCATCTCGGCCCGATTTTGTTTCTGTTATTTATATTCCGTAATGAAACACGCAAATATCTCATTATATGCAATGATGTAAAACTTTTTATGTCGTATACCTCATTCGGCGAAAGACTATTGCTTCAAAACGAACTAGACAATTTAGCTCACATCACACCAAATGATAACAATGACATGCCTTTGAACCTTCAGAAGCGTAAGACCATGTGCTTTGTGCGGAGATTTGTTCAACATTCTCCTTATATAATTAATAAAATAAATATAAAAAAATAATTGAAAATACCATTTTCAAAATCCATGTGTGTAAAAACTATACAGCAAGTCAGGTTTACCAACCTTTACTGGATCATATTCGTTGAGCCAAAAAACCCAGTAAAAATTGGCAACGAGAGAGAGTGCAATTTTGACGTTTAGTTGGAGAGAAAGTTGCAAATTCGTGCTGGGAAAATTAAATCCAGTAAAAACTAGCAAGTTTAAAAACCAGCCGATTTGTGATCATATGATTTAACTTTTGTCAACAAAACAAAATTGATTTTAAATTAAAATAATTTTTATTCTCTAACATGAATTATATGCCAACAAAATAAGTGGTCAAATGTAATGTTGTTTATTTCATTTTGAATTGAAATATATAATTTGTTTTTGTATAGCGCAAGTTGTTTTTTTGTTGTTTTTCGATTTCTATAAGTTACTAGAAACAGTGTCGACTAAATGAACAGCAAAACATTGCAAAGCAAGGATGTTGCTACGATGACAGTCACGATAATTGATTCTCCCGGAAGGAACGACGATGCACAAAATGAAATCTTAGTATCATTTGAATACAATTAATAACTTAGAAATATCACATAATTGTCAATTTTATTAAAACACTTAGGAAAATACTTAAAACCAGAAATATTAAACTGTATAAATGGCCGAGTTCTAAATCAACCGCCAAAACAAATGTTGGACAACAGTCTGAATGGATCCTGTTCGTTGAAAAACTCAGTAAACTTCTTTCTTTCGGAGAGTAAAACATCTTACTCTCAATTTCGCAACTTGCTGGTTTTTACTGACATTTCTTAATAAACACAGCTGATTTTCCTTTAGCCTTTGCTTATTCCTTTCACAAAATTTACATTTTGTCATAAGTTTTGCAGAAGTTTTTGGAAGAATATTTCGCCTCAATATTCCTTATCCTTTGTCCGAATGGTAAGTCTCTGAAAATCTTTATGAGCCATCGATAATATTTGGCTAAGAGCCAAGACTAACAAGCAAATAAACAAACTGGCTCAAATATAAAAAAATATACATAAGTAGTCTTATTAACAAAAACTCTACATTTCATTTTCGAGTGCAAGTGGAATGAAATACTTCAATTTGACATCCTGGTACTCGCATTTTACAAATTTATTTCAACTTCATTTTATTTTCTCATATGAAATAGCCGTGTTCTGAAAACCGAGTCCACATAAAAATATTGTATATACATATGTACAAAGTCTAAATCCACTTCAAAATTGTTTTGTGTATACAAACATATATCGCAAGAGTGCGTAGTAAGCTAATTTCCAAAATATTTTTTATAAAATTAGCAAATATTACATACACACAGTCAAAGACAAAAGTTTAAATACACCTATAAAATTCCACTTTTTATTAAAATTAAGTATTTTATAGTAAATATAAGAATGGAGTTTATATAAAGTAGATAATAAATCAACAATGCAAATTAAACTAAGAAAAGGGGTTTAAAACAACAAATTTTAATATTTTGTTGGCCCACATCATTCTTCTGTAACTGCCTTTCGACGACGTGGGGTAGACCAAATTTTCTATTTCCGATGGTGCAATTTCAGACTATGCCTTTTTCAGATATTCTTCCATGGCTTATTTGCTGGTTGAAGCCGCCATAGCAGTTTTTGCGCCAATAACTCCCAAATATGGTCATTGGGGTTCAAGTCTGATGATTGCGGCGGGCTATGAACCTGACGAGGAACATAATACACTAGTGATTCTTTCCCCAAACCCGGTGTATGGTTAAGTCTGTTGTCTTGCTGAAATATCTACAAACTTCCGAGACCCAAGGAATCCACGGAAGACTGTCTATGTTGATCCAAAATACTTTTGTAAGCATATTTGTCCATTAGTCCATCGATAAACGTTAAATGTTTTACGCCAGTTGCTCCAATCGCTCCCCAAACCATGACGCTACCTCCACCGTGTTTAACGGTTTGTATTAAATTCTGGTTTTGATAAAGCGTCATTGCTTTCGATTTGCTTTTTTTCGATTCCCCTGTAAACAGGTGTCTTCTCCAAAAGAATTCATCCATATCCTTGTATTTATTTGCAAATTAAAGACGAAGTTGCTTATTTTTCTCATATACTAGAGGCTTTTACGTGGAACTCTGCTTCGATAGCTATCTTCCCGTAAAGTTCTTGATGTAGTTTTTGGAACTATCTTTGGAACACCTATTTTAGGATATTTTGTCATTTTCTTGGTAATAAAATTAACATCTCGCCAGGATAGCTTCCTTGGACGAAGTACCTCAAAACACCCTTTAGCTAACGCTTTATGCAACTCATCCCGAATTCCTGACGGTAGCGAAGAGGTATTCCCGCCTCATAATATGAGCGCCAGTTTGGAAAAAGTTCTGAGTCAGCACGAGCTAACACGTTTTCAATTTGGTTTTAAGATTTGTACATTTACTGTTAGGCTTATAAAAATTTAAGCACTTTCAGTAATAAATGAATTAAGCATTAATAAAAATTAGTGTTTCAAAACTAAATGAATTTGAGAAACTTCTGTTTTTATAATAACAATGGAAGGGCCCAATACTATCATAAAAAAATCGGGAAATATTTCCATTAATATTATGTTGTATAAACCACGTTCTCATCAAAATTTGCGTGTTAAATTTTCGCCTTCGAAAGTATAATAAATATTAATGTCCTCACTGAACTTTATAGCTACTTTTAATATACGTGTATAAACGTTATTATTTAGTTAACAATAAATAAAGTATACGAAATTTTAGTTTTTTTAAAACTTACAAATTTTCTTTTATATCTTCTTTAAACTATTTTAATTTTTACCATTTTTTTTACAGATATGAAGCTTTTGCTTACGACCATCTTACTGTCATACCTTCAACTCTTTGTCCACTGCCAAAATGACTATTGTTTTGGCAAGGACAATGAAAGGACCCAAACTCGCCATTTTACATCTAAAACCGCTTATCAGATAATCAAAGGAACAAATATTGAAAAGGAGTACTTGGTTCCAGGTTTGACTGTTTTAAAATTTTATACTTTATTTACCCATTGATTCATTTAAAACTCATAGTTCCATTTTCAATTACTCAGTTACTAGGAATATATTTTCAGAGTTTCTTTTATCCGAGAAAAATATTATGCAGAAATTCTAGGGCTAATATGGGATACTACTAGGGCAAACAATAACCAATTTTTCTTTAATCCCTTTTTAAATCCTATATTTTCAGGTTAATACGATATTCTGTCTAACCTTCGAGACCCTAGAAAAAATATGCAAGTGTGGGGTAAAAGAGAAATTTGCAAATATGTTTTCATGAGATAAGGTTCCTACGATTTCTGAATATACCAGAGATGCTCAACGAACGAAACGAAGCTATTTCGTTTTGTTAATATGTAAAATAAACTTGCCTTCAGCTCCATTTTATCGAAACGAAATGAAATTATTAATGTTGAAACCGCAAAAAATCATCGCAAACGTAATTTTAAAATGGCTGCATGCTATGTATGATATTGAAGCATATAATATTTTTACGATTAACATTATCTGTTAACGATTTAAAATTAGCGACAGCATTTCGTTTCAAGTAAAAATCGAATAGAATCAATATAAATTTTTGCATTAACGTGAAATTTATCGTTAGGTAGTAGTAGAGTAATGGTTTTATCATTCTGCCATTTTCGAATTCCTCCTCCGATATGTTGTTGGGAGAATCATTGGTTTGAGCAAAGGCTAGACTGTCAGAATGACACCATCCGTATTGCATTTCTTTAGTCGTTCGTTCGTTATGTTGGAACTGCAAACCACAAATTGCTGGATATGATTAAAAAATTAAAATTACACTGGCAAACACTTACGCATAATAATGTCTAACGTCACCATAAAACTAAAAACAAACAAACAAACTAGAATTTTTAAGCAATTTTTTGATAATTCCCAATGGATTGGAAAATTTGGAAAAGTCATCAAATGGCGTGAAATACTATAAGGTGCAGCGATCATACATAAGCAGGACCTATGCTTACATCTAAATCTTACACATTTTTGTAGATCTCTCGCTGATACACTTCCTGGAAAGAAAACATTCAAAATATTGAGGGAATTGAGGGAAAAAACTATCTAGTACTGAATTTCAAGTAAACCAAACAATACATTTTATTTGTTGGCTCCCTGGTCCATATCCGGTATAGAACAAACTTCTGTAACAAAGAACATTTTATTTATTAGCATAGAACGACCATGGTCCACGAAAAAATAAAACAAAAAACACCATTTCTAACTACATACAATAGTTTCTTTCCAACAAGCTTGAGCTTTTGTATGATCATTGCCCCAAAACCTCACCATTGTATGAGACTAAGCAGCAGTGGAGGTATTGTTGCTACTAAGTGCTGTTATTTCGATTAGATTATTTTAGAGATGGTTTTTTTAGATTTAAATCCTTTACTTAAAAAATAAATTATTGCTTTCCCTCTAAAACTAATATTATTTTCATATTTTTTAATAATTTGTGTACCTTTATGTGTATTGGTATATTTACTATTTTCCGGAGTACCAGAAGCTCCCATCCAACCAATCTGTTTAGATATGTGACTTTGGGTCAGAAGTCCGTAAATAGAGCGTGAAATTTGGTATTCTGATTCGTGTCACAACTGATTCGTTCAGACAGTACAATTAAAATTTATTTTTTAAAATGCAGTTCTAATACTAATGCAAGATGGTTCGAGAAAAGGATAAATCACTTTCCTGCTATCACTTTTATTTTGGCTGCAATCAATTTAAAGATAAAGAAAAGTTAGTAAGTTTTAAAAACTAGTAGTTAGCAATGTTATTTATTTATTTACAGGCTGTAAACCAACAAAAATTTGGATATTGCATAGGCATGGCACTCGACTACCAACAGTGAAGACAATAAAATCGGCTCCTAAACTAAATACAGTAAATAGAAAATGATATTTAAAATTTATACTGACTTTGCAATTACATGCTTTTCACAGCTACGCGATGAAATCGTAGCAAATTATCGAGTTCGCCGTACGAAACCCGACACTAATGCGCTCTGCTTGGAAGATTTGAGCCTTTTATCGATGTGGAAATGGAATAGTAGTATTACAGTGGATCAAGAACAGTTTCTAACCATGCAGGTATACAGAGATACTAATATTTTATGCCTTTTTCAATTATACTATCATGCCTTCATACCTATGCATTTCCATATGTAAATGGATTTAACTGTCTTCCGAATTCATATAATTCATACAGTTTTCGGAATTTTTTCTATAATGAACATATTAAAATTTCTGTTATTGATCATTATGTATTTTATGTAGAAAATAATAGTACGCGAGGTCAGATTTCGATTTTGAAACACAATCGTGTAAAGAAATCAGGTGAAATTGAGCATCAGAGGTTTTGTTGAGTATTATTAATGTTGTCGTATAAGTTGTCCATCTCGTCGTCCCATTGTCCACGGTATTTGGCGTTGTCATAGCGCAAATGTCCATAGATCGTTAACGGTACCTTTTTCTCGAGCACTTCCATTCCGATGTTATGACTGTCAGCATGGGGAGCCAAGTCCAAATGGGCTGACTGATTGTTTGATTACATCAAATATCTCCTCATTGATTAAGAATAAACATATTCTTGAACGCAAATATACCCGGCCTCCCCATTGCCGAATTTGTCATTATAGTTAAAGTTTTCAGAGCTCGAACTCATGACTCTTGGTGTTGGCTTCAATTAATTTCCCTGGCTTATAATCAATCTACAAGTTTTGTTAAGATATTCCAATTTTTATAAGATTATTCCTCACATATCGTTTTGTAATAGAATTAAAGTATTCTTAAGCTTACGAGCGATCTGGATGTCCCTACGAATATATTGCATAAATTGTAATTCAAATAATGATTTTGTCCTGCAATTTTGAGTGGTTCGAATATAAGTATTTATCCACCAATGCGTCACATATTATACTTTCTTAATTTTTGTTAATCATTTAATTAACATTTTCCTTTTGCGTTCTAGGGCTATGAAGATTTAAAAGGAACTGCAAAAACTTATCAAAGGTTTTATGGTGATGTGCTAACAAAAAATTACAACAACACGTACTACAAGGTATGTTACCAAGTCTTTACAAAAAAAAAATATCTTAAACTTCTTAGCAATTTTTATAAAATTTATTTGTACTTTAAATAGTTCCGTCACACTGATACTCAACGTACCACAGAAAGTTTCAAAGCTTTCGCTGAAGGTCTCTTCGGTGCTGACGTTAAGGTACAACCAGATCAAATTCCGGAAAAGGATTTACTTTTGAGGCCCTACGACTACTGTGAATCATGGAAGGCACATGACTACAGCGGAGAGAATTCGGAAAACTACAAATTCAAGCATTCAGCCATTTGGAATAAAACCATTGCAGATATTTCAAAGCGATTGGGGTAGGTTTGTTTCATGTTCCTAGAGGAAAACTTCGCATATATTATAAACTGTCAAAACGCTGAACGGCCAGCAAGTTTAACGTTAAATTGAGTAGGCAACTGAAAAAAGCATTTTCTCAGAAAATTTGTCTTACTATAAGCAAGACGTTGTGATCGTTATAATGTGTGGCCTTCAGCTCGTAATCGACGGAACCTGGAATGTCCGGTCCCTTAATTGGGAAGGTGTTGCTAGCTGGTTGATGTCCTCGTAAGAATAAAGGCTGACATCACCCCCGTCCAAGAAGTGCGATAGACGGGACGATGGGCGAAAGTGAGTAAATTTTGTGACATTTACTACAGCGGCCATATAAAGGAGCGCAAGCTTGGTGTTGGATTTGTGGTGGGGCATTCAGCACAGTGGATGAGCGTCCCGCTACAATCCGCATTTAAACGAAAATTTTCAATACATCGTTACTTTGCGCCACGGCTCTGTAAGCTGACGCTGGACAACATCAGAAGGGCAGTAAGAATTGGGAAGGACAGGGTAACTCTTTGTCGTGTGATTTCTTCAATTTGATGCCGGAGGGAATTATAAGAGCTGCAGAGCCGAATAGAGAAGGTACAATCTTCTATAAGAGTATACAACTGCTGGCGTAAGCCAATGATATTGACATTATCGGCCTCAACAACTTAGTTCTGCTTTCTCCAGGCTTGATAAAGAAGCTTAGAGAATGGATCTATCATCAAACAAGCAATCATTGCATTCGCGACTTCACTATTGAAGCCGTAGATAATTTCGTCTATGTAGGAACCAGCGTTAACAGCAAGTCCCTCATTGTTCCTGTCGTGCTATATGGTATGGAAGCATGAACGATGACAGGATCTGAAGAGTCGGCGTTAGGAGTTTTCGACAGAAAGGTTTTGCGAACGATTTATGTTCTTTTGCGTATGGACGATATTGATATAGTTCAGCGAATCAAGAAGCCCTTTACTCCGTTGGAAAGAGCAGGTAGAGTAGGACCTGGCTGTACTTGATATTTCCAATTGGCGCCAAACAGCAAAAAGAGGAAAAGGATGTCGCAACGTTATTAAATCGACTTATCTTGCTTACAGGAGTCAAAGAGACAAAATTGAGATTATAGTCTAAGATGCGCACTTTACTTCAGGTGTACAAAGTGTCAAACGATAATAACCGCAGAACTGGTGGCAGCCCTTACTTTGATCCATTTATGGAGCTAATGGAGATATATTTGGCAGAAGCCAAGAAGTATACACTCAGTTAAATTTTTATTATTTTTAACTAAATATAAATTTTTATTTAAAGTTAATGCCAATTATATATACAATATATATATATTTATTTTTTTACTGGCGTAACCATCGCCTGTAAGCAAGATAAGCTTCTTTCCTGTATCAATTTTTTAATATATATATTTTATGTGAAGTAATTTCCAACGACAACGTACCCCCCAAAACGTTTCAATGTTTTTTACCAATATTTTTTTTGACTGCTGGAACTCTTCCTTCAGCGCAAGATAGAACCACCAAACCCAGAGGTTTCTTAGTGGGTTCATCTTCTTCTTTTACTCTCTCGCATTCTGGAATTTAATTCATATACATACTGTTCCATTTTGTAATGTGACTGAAATTTTAAGTTTGTCGCTTAGCGAGAATTAAAGGTTAAATTAACTCAAATTTGATTATTTAAGTTGTTGTTTCCATGTTATTAGATGAAAGAATACGGTTTAAGTGCATATTTTTCTCCAGCTGTAACTATCAACTAAACTCGTTTTTATGACTTTATTATTTTTTCGATCAAGAGATTTTCAGAATTAATCTGAACATCTATTATAATCTAACAGTTGCTATGATCTCTTGTGCTCATTCGGATTTCGAAAAGTCGATGATGATCGCTGTGAGAAATATCTCTTTACAGCGAAACTTTTAAATGCATTTATTATTCGACTTATTATATTATTAGTAACTACTTTTTATATTTCTTATACTCCTAGCTTCCAATATACCCTGGAGTCTAGCGACATTGAGCTCATGTGGGATATGTGTCGCTATGAACAGGCTTGGCATGTTGACCGAACAAGCGTTTGGTGTGCTGTAAGTGCAATTTAATACTTTTACATTACATACATTACATATATGATGTCTTACTTATATTTCATTTATTGACAAAATTAGTTAATACCATGATTTTTGCCGCTACCCTATATCTTTATCATTTTTAATACATGTACAAAAAATATACAATGATTGTATTATCATACATACACAAATATACACACCTGTACAAAATAATAGGTATGTCTATATTTTTTTTACAAAAATGCTTGCCTTCACTTATTTTCCCATTTGCTTCAAAGAATATGTTGGTTTTTTCAACATTCAAGACGAAGAAATTTAAGCTGAAGAAATTTAGTAGATAATTTTTTATTCTTCATTTAAATTTTTATTTATTTAATTAGACAGTAATTAAGCTCTAATAGCCTCCCTCAAACAGTTCTTCTTCTGCTTTATTGACGTTAACGGAAGCACGCCACTCGTTTCTTCTTTCACTTTGGCGCGAATTGGAGACACCAAGTGAAACCACACCCTCCCCACTTGGATCCTTCCTTAATGCCAAGTTTCTCCAAAAGCTGAATCAGGCTATACATTCAATATTTTTCAACAATATATTACATATACATACGAGGTGTGTTCAAAAAATATCGCGAATTTTTTGTTTTTTTTTCAAAAAATTACTTATTTATTCATGAATATCTATTTTGTCCCCTTCAAAGTAATCCCCATGAGATATTATACACTTGTGCCAACGGTTTTTCCAATCTTCGAAGCACTTCAAAAAATAATTTTTTATCTTGTTCGGCTCCTTCTTCGATGCCGTCTTTATCTCGTCAATCGTAGCGTCCTTTTATGGGCCTCTTCAGTTTAGGGAACAAGAAAAATTCATAGGGGGACAGATCTGGGGAATACGCTGGCTGCGGCATCATAAGTGTGTTGATTTTGGCCAAAAAGTCGCGCCCAAGCAACGATGTGTGAGCAGGGGCGTTATCGTGGTGCAAAAGCCAATTTTTGTTCTTCGCGCATAACTTACAGGTTATATTCCTTATTGACCGTTGTACCCTGTGGCAAGAACACATGATGCACCACGCCCCTGCAATTAATTTTTTCGTCTGTTGTTGAAGTGCTCGGGCGTCCGGCACGTTCTTCGTCGGTCACATCTTCTCGGCCTTCTGAGAACATTTTGTACCACCGATAAACGTTGCTTCGGTGCAAGGTAGCTTCTCCGTATGCCACAGTCAACATTCGGAATGCATACGCGCACTTAATTTCGTTTTTCACACAAAATTTGATACAGGTTCTTTGATCCATTTTTTTTGAATAGGTAAAAATCGAGGACCATCCAAAATACGTGCAAGCAAAGCAGCTGTCAACAATTAAGTGAACATTCAAAATTGCCGAGCTTGTCGGCATAAGTGGCAGACATGAGTACCAACATAACGCCACAAAAAAATCGAAACTCGATTATACGTAACCCGCGAAAATTCAAAATTCGCGATACTTTTTGAACACGCCTCGTATATCCACACATAGATATGCATTATGTATTTAAACATGTGTATTTGCAAAGTTATCATTCAAAAATTTTGTACTGTTGCAGATGTTTACACCGGCGCAAGTAAGCGTATTTGAGTATGAGGATGACATGAAATACTTTTACAAACTTGGCTATGGTTTTGAAGAAAATACACGTCTTAATTGTCGCGCAGCCCAAGATATGCTAACGCACCTTAACAGCCCAACCACACCAAATGTTATTGCTTATTTCGGGCACACAAGTGGAGTTCAGTCACTTCTCTCCGCATTAGGTATAGCGAAGGATAACATTCCGCTCACTGCCAATAATTACAACAGAACGGATTACAATTGGAAAACCAGTAATTTGGATCCATTCGCATCAAATTTTGTTGCTGTAAAGTTCACATGCAATGGTAATGTCGGCGATAAAGTTATTTTCTTTCTCAATCAAAACGCTGTGGATCTGGATTGGTGTGATGTGGGATTGTGTGACTGGTCGGAAGTGTTGAAACGCTATGAAACTCTTTACACAGCAGATTGCAGCAGTTATTATTGCGCGGATGCAGGTGCTGCTTCTGTAGTCAAGTCATTGTCTATGTTATTTATTTCTATTATAGTATACTTACTATATTAACTCTTAGAGAAAAATAACGGTAATTGTTGCATGTAAATAAGTATAAATATTAGGTTATAAATAATTTTTTAATTAAGTCTAAACTGTTTTATCCTGATTTCAAATAAATATTTATTTGCTTCATCGTTTGTTTTCATCTCTATTGGAATTATATTATATAATAAATTTCAATATACATATGTACATGTGTGGAATAAGGGCTCACATATGTGCAATACTACATAAATACATACAATACTTGTAAATAAAGTAAGCTGTAGTTGTTGTGTGGCATTAGTTCTGTTCGAAAATCAGATGGGCAGTAACAATTTTTACAGAATTTTACTGAATCATGTGCGGCGGACCAAAAATACCGTAAAATTAGTGTCGTTACTACGGGCTGATGGATTCACCAATGCACTCCCACGATTTCGGGCAGCTCTAACACTTTCTTTTTTATATTTCTCTTCTGAGTACATACAAATTGAAGGAGAATGCAGTTGAACGGAAAATCCATTTAATTTTATGTTCTTATTTTCGAGAAGAACGCCATTTTTATCGTTTTCTCCGTAGCAGATAGCAGAGAACGTAAAAAAGTGAAAAAATATGGATAAGAATATTACATAAGCTGTGGAAATAATATAATACAATGTCGATTAATTAATTTTTCATTACTCTTTACATTATTTTTTTTTAAGGGTACTTAATATTGTACGGAAAATTCTGTTAATAGAGCAGGTTGAGTAGAATGGACGAAGCAGCACATCTCAAAAATATTCAACAAAACTTTACGAGGTACAACTGCATTAAAATATTTATAACATTATGATTCGAACATTAACTTTTTATTTTAACTTAGATGTCTTTACACATCAAAGGAGCTGCGATTATGACGGAGGCGTTCGGGGAGTTGGAGCTGCGTCACTATTAAAAACTTCTTATTATATTTTGCTTATTTTTGAAAACGAATTTACGGGACCGCTGCGTTTGTTTATGTCAATATTGTTTTCTTTTGATATCAATACTGTCGCTTAGAAAATATACAAGGAAACGAAGAGAGAACGACGTACACTTATACAAATGTGAACATCACTTTTGTCATTTCTGCTTTCCGAAAGTGATGGGAAAATAGTCCTACGAGCTGACGGGTGATGAGCTGATACATTCCTGACATATGTTAGCTCAAATGATCGGAAGCCATCCGGCAAGAAGGCTACGTCTACGTCTTCGTAGACGATCGTCAATGTTCATCGTCACTTTCATTGCTTCGTCCTTGTTCAGGTATTTTGTAAAAAAAATGCAACCGAAATGTTGTGAGTTGAAAAAACGCGGAAGCCCCATGTACGGGGAAATTGCTGTATTATGAAATTATGGTGTGAGGTTTGCTTAAATCAATAAAACCGGATTTTAAACAAAAAAAATGAAATACAAGTTGTTCTTTTCAAGCTCAAGCGATGAAGCAGAGAACAAAAATTTAAAGGTTAGACTGTGGCGATCGTTTTCATGGTGCCGGCAATTGGCAAATTGTCTATTGGTGGAACATCAAGGCAAGAAAACGCCTAGTTTGACCCATTAGGATCTCTCTCTGAATCTATTGGTGTATTGCTGCTGCTAATTTCGCGCTGTGGCGATATCAAATATAGCATCAGCTGGATTTAACAGATCTTCGAATCCCAGCAAATTTGCAATAGATTCTACAAGAGGAGTTAATACCATTTGAAAATAAAATAGCTAAAATGATTAAACAAGAAACCATTTGACTTTTATTCAAGTTCCATCCATCGCCATCCCGCATAGCACAGGCAATCCTATCGCCTTAATTTTTTTGGCATTCTTCTTTTAAATTGTGTTGGAAAACGCTATTTTGGGAACCCAGTTTTGCAATTCTCCTACGAGAATTTCAAATTGAGCGCTTGTCGCTAGCCGCTTTAATTTCTATATCTGACTGACGATAAGAAACGACAGAAAACGATGGCGATATTGCTGACGACCGTACCGCAACAGGATCGTCTAACGATACTGTTGACGATGACGTTGAACGTAATACCAATGCTACCGTATTGTCATTTTCACTGACGATGATGATATTCAGCAGAAGTGCAGAATACAGGCGTGATTTTAATGATATTTGTAACCTTTTTTGGGACAAACATTTATTTTCGTAGATATGGGGAAACGAGAGGAAAAATTTCTAAAATTATAAACTGCTATTTCTCAAAAAGTTGTACACCCAATTTTATAAATTGTATAATTGGTATTGTTGACAAGGTGAGAAAAATTTACTTTTTCGGGTGTCATATCTCTATACTTTCTGAATATAAATTTGGAAAAAAAGTCCAGGAAAAAAAAATACTATATATTTAAAAAAAATTAGTTTCTCTTCAAATGAGATACACATAAAACAATATTAATAAAAAGAAATATCAAAAAAAATTTAATTTGATTTTGTGCCGTTAACGAGCATTAACCAAACTCATACTTATAAAGCTATTTCAGACAAAGGGCTTTGAATCTCATTCTCATCATTTTATCTCTGGTGGTTATCTTCAGAAAGCATTGAGATTTGGACATTACAGAGGAAACGTTAGACAAAAAATTAAGAAAAAAAACAGATTTTCTATCAAATATAGTTTTTTTATACTGGATTTTCTCAAAATTTATCTTCAGAAAGTATTGAGATATGGATATCAAAAACAAGGAATTTCACTTACCTTTCCAAGGATTCCATTTTTTTTTTAAATTGGGAATACAACTTTCCACCTTCATCAAATATGTACGAAAATAAATATTTTACAAAAAGAAATAAAATCATTAAAATCAGGAAGGGCGTATCACACCCACTTTTTTATTACGTTCCACCTTAACTGCCTGTATTCTGCACTTGTTCACTAGTTTGGTTCACATGATAGCAATGTCGTTTGGACTTTTACCATGTGTTTGACTCCTTTACAACTTTTGGAGCAACCATGCATATGTATACCTATTAGCATGATCTGAGTCCTTCTCATATAAGCTTAGCTTATCAAAAAGTTGATTTTAGGTTCAGTCTAGTCATTATATAGACAAAAAAAGTACAATGTCGCCGAAACAACTTTTCCTAATCCATAGTTATGATAACAGCCTTGCATTAGTATTCTTAAGCCATTAAAGATATATATTAAAAAGAAAATATTAAACAGTTTAAAGAATAAGCCGACGACCGAACATAAATTTATTGTCAATAATAACTGTTTACAACGTATATGGATGAATCTATTATTTTTGATTAAACACAATATGTTTTGTACACTATTATACAAAAAGTAAATACAAAATAAAGATTAGTTCTTAATCTCGCTTTTTTCATTTACATATTTGCAAACTTAAAAGTATACTTTACGGCAAGCACGAAATTTAGAAAGAATTCGACCGGTTATGTATATCCTGTGGCAGTTATAAAAATGTGCTCGGTTTTAAACAGATTTATGTTGTCAGCTTTAAAAATTTCAACTCTTCCAAGAATTTTGCCTCCATAGAAATTTTATTGAGCTGATTTAATTCAAGAGTTTCCCCTTGTTCCTGTCGTAACTTCAATTTTTTTATGTCAGACAATTTTTTAGCTACATGACGAATCTTCTTTTCTTTCTCAGGATTATTGACCTTTTTATTGACAGGTTTTTGGCCGTCTTGAATGTTATCGTCATTTGTTTGCTTTGTAACTTTTAACTTCCGATGTGGTTGGTTTAATTCGTCATTGTTCGAGGGCGCTCCGTTCTTAAAATTTTTTTCTCCACTTGTTGCAGGTCCAGCATCATTTCCAACGGCCAAATCTTTCTTGTTCTTTATTCTATTTGCTTTAGAAGCATTTGTTTTCAATCCGCCTTTCCTACCGACAGGGAAACCTTAAATGAGCGTTATACAAATTAATTCATATGTATCTCAAAATCTTTTGATGATTATACTCATATACATATATGCTTATATGCTTCAAAATATATATTACCTGGTTGTGCATTAGAATTAATTTGTGAACGTGGCAAAAATTTATCCGGGTCTTTTCCTTCTTTTATCATTCTAAGATGTGGAGGAGTATAGGCCTTTTTGCTGGCTTCTGGTAAACTTGATTTTATTCCTTCGGGTTTCACTTTAGTTATTATTGGTTCCGCAAATTGATTTTCAGGAAATTTCTGCCACTCAATACCTAGAAGTTCTTGTCCTTGCGGCCAAATTGTTTCATGTACTAATGATCCAGAATAGTGATACACTTTAAATCTGAAATGTATTAGATATATTTCCTTTAAATATTTTGTTTTATTTATTTCTAGCTTTTGAAAAAATATGTATTTTACTACCTCCAAGACTAATTAATTTTTTTTTGTCCAAAAGAAGAGTCAAGAAAAACCAGTTAATTTAAGTTCCCCGGGGAGATGTTTATCTGAATTTTTGTTCCAAAGTATCAAAAGCCACTGACGGCTGCAATGTTACAGCTTTTGACAACTAATTAGAAACGCTCACCGTAATATTTTCTTTAAAACAACGCTTGCAGTATTTTTGTTAATTCATTTACTACTCAAATTCGTAGTCATGCATTTCAAGTACTATTATTACTTTCTCACTTTGTGCATGCCTTACTTGGTGTAAAGTAAATGAAGTGCGACAGTTAATTTGTAACGATTTTTCAATAGTAACATTTTCATAGCGTTGTGCTGGTTTAGTAATAATATCAGTGATTTATCTAAAACTTATTATTTAAAATCAATTAAAATTTCAATCTCAAAATCTGTAATGGGTAAAAAGCAGCACCGGCACACATGCATTACGCAGCGCTATTTGCGACCTTCGTAGACCTTGAAAGTCCTGCAGTCAAAATGCGGAGCAAGTCAAAATGCTCCAAAAATGTGATTTTTTATGCCTTAAAGCATATCTAGAATTTTGAAACTGCTGCTAATGTCGCGCGCAAAAAAACCGCCAAGGAAAACTTCAGCAGGAACCCGCGAAGGGACCATAAAAAGAGTTCCTCGTACATTCGACGTGATAATCAGGATAAATTCACTGTTCAAATATCGAGGAGACTAATTACACGGCGTTTGGTCGAATCTGGATTTAATGGAAAAGCAGCAAGTAAGAAACCACTTCTCCCCAAAATTCAAAGAAAATGACGTATAGATTTTTTTGAGGAGTTTTTTTTTAGTCGGAGGCTAACTCTATTATAAAAATTAATCACACAATGTTTTAAGATTTATCTAAAGGAATTCTCTATTTCTATTATGAACATATAATGTTTTAATTTTATGTATTGCAAGCTGTTTTGGCGATCTTAACCTGAAATTTTATATCTGAAAAGTCGGCTGTAAGGAGGATGAACAACAAAGTCTTCCGATTTCGATGCAATCATTAATTTTAATTAATTTATAGAGAGTTTAACGAGGTGTAATCAAGCTTCTGGGTATGCTGTTATCTTAGCGATGCTATACTCAATTACTACTCTTGCGCCCACGCTGGGCACTCTGGAAACCCTTGTGCAAGATGCGGTAATCAACCCGCGTGGAGCCTTGGGTCACGGCTAATGAGACAGGAAGCTTCTGTTGAGCCACACCGACTTATTCGGTTTAAGGGTCCGAAACCATCTCCAATAAAAAATTAGCAACGCCTCGGATGAGATACTCCCTTTCTGTTGACGACCCCCGCAAACGAATAAAGGATCAGGATGTGAGGGCATGTACATGGAAAGTCTGGTCCCTTAATTGGGAAGGTGCTGCTGCATAGCTGGTTGATGTCCTTGTAAGAATAAAGGCTGGCATCACCGCCGTCCAAGAAGTGCGATGGCCGAGGCGAGGACGAAAGCAGTAGGTTCTTGCGATATTCACCGCAGCGGCCATATAAAGGAGCAAAAATTTGGTGTCGCATTTGTGGTGTGAGAGGGACTCCGTCGTCGAGTACTGGCATTCACCCCGGTGGATGAGCGTCTCGCCACAACCCGCATAAAAACGAAATTTTTTTAATATAGTTGATGGTTGTCGTAGCAGAAGATTTCAGCACCAGAAAATTTACCAAGCTACTTGGCTGTCTCCAGATCGAAAACTCTCAACCAGATCGATCATGTTATGATAGACGGAAGACGTGTATCCATTGTTTTAATTGTGCGCGCGTTCCGAGGACCTAACATCGACACGGATCATTGTCGCAGCGAAGATACGCACGCGCCTCTGTGTAGGAAAACGCCCGTCAACAAACACAAGGAAAGCTCGACGTCGAAGAGCTGCAATCAAGACTGCCGAACGGTGTTCTACTCGACTTGCACACCTACTCTTTGAAAATACTTATCAGCATACCGGTATAAGGGAACTCCCTAGGTACAGCTGCAAACCAAGTTATTGGATTTCGCTAAGGTCGCAAAAACAGCTAGTACGATGAGGACTGAACTTATGGAGAGAATAGTTCTCTAGCCTTCTGAATGCAAATGCAAATTAAACACCCGGAGATAGTGAACCCGAAATTCCAATTGATGACGATGGAAAAGATCTTCTGTAACCCGACTATGAAGAAGTCCGAATAGCAATCGCTCGCTTAAACAACGCGACGGGGACCGGTGGTTTACCGGCCGAGCTATTTAAATACGGCGGTGAAGAACAAAGCAGGTATCAGCTTCTCTGCATGGTCTGCATGGTCGAATGAAAGTCGGGTATGATTGGAAGCTAACAGGGACAGGACGGCATACAGAACAGCATTGAACGCCATTCACAAGAAGTCAGTCAACACCTTCAAGGACTCCCTCCCAGTGAATGGCGCGCTCGGAGAGAAGCCACCACCTATAGAGACAAGGAGCTCCAACCCCTGCGGGTTAGGGGCTCAAGAATTTACCCGCGGTAAGGCATGCCTGTCGTAAGGGGCGACTAAAATCCAATAGTTCCCGCGACAGTCGGGTCTTTATACCGGAACGACCCGGATTTTTATCCGGCCAAGGACTGTCACTCCCGCAATATTCCCCAAAAAGTACTTTGGGGAATAATTTTGCGGTTACAACAACAACAACAACAACAAGGAGCTCCAGTTACCTCGAGAGACGCGCGTGACTCTGACATAACTCAGGTCTGGATATTGTAGTAGGTTAAACTCCTACTTATCCAGACTAGACCCCAGCATACCCAACGTATGCCCTGCATGTGAAGAGTGTCTTCACGACACTAACCACCTCTTCACATGCCCTCTTAAACCAACTCATCTAACACCTCTCTCCCTTGGGCCAACCCCGTCGAAACAGCTCGTTTCCTGAACCTCCCATTAGATGACCTCGGCGACTTAAATTGATCAAACCTGTGCCTAAGCTTGGTTAGCGAACCGCTACAACAACAACAACAACAACATTGGAAGCTAAGTGTGCTCTGCCTAGTCTACAAAAAAAGGGGTTCTGACAGTCTGCGCCAATTATCATGGAATAAGCCTTCTTAACATTGCATATTAGGTCCTATCAAGTGTATTGTATGAAAGACTGAAACCCACCGTCAACAAGCTGATTGCACCTTTTCAGTGGCTTTTGACCTGGTAAAACAACTATCGACCAGATATTCACCATGCGCCATCTTAAAAAACACCCGTGAAAACGAGATCGACACACACCTCCTTCGTCGATTTTAAAGCCGCCTTCGACAGCACGAATAGGTGCTGCCTTTACACCGTTTTGACCGCAAAATTTATGCGACTATGTAAACTGTAAGCAACACCAAAAGCTCCGTCAGGATTGGAAAGGACCTCTCTGAGTAAGCAATTAAAAAGTAAAGTCCTCTCCCGACAAACGAAAACCAAACTCTACAAGTCCCTCATCGTTCCCGTCCTGCTATATGGTGCGGAAGCGTGGACGATGTCGACATCCGATGAGGTGGCCTTGAGAGTTTCGAGAGAACTTTGCACATTGGCAACGGCAAATATCGCAGATAATTGAACGATGAGCTGTACGAGTTGTACGATGATATTGACATAGTCAGCGAATCAAGAAGCAGTCCGGATGGATACTAATACTGCAATTTTTAATTGTTTTCGATGCAGTACCCGCCGGTGAGAGCAGAGGAAGAGGAAGACCTGCACTTCTGGCTAAACTTAGTATTTCCAATAAGCGCCAAACAGCAAAATAAAAAGTACTGAATGGCGCAATGTTTTTAACTGGGCTATAATCGCTTAAACGGTGTCCACGCCAGTAGAGTAAGTAAGTTTTTGGCGGATTTATAATCCCAAATCTAAAATAGTGTAAGTATACCTCTGCTTACCAAATTTGCTTGAAAAATCTACAAAACTAATGGAGTAGTTTGCGTCCGAACAGACGGACAGTCGGTCTTGTTATTACAATAAAACCCATACAACAGAAGAAATTATTCGGTAAATTTTACTAGAAAATGAAATAACTTCTTATTCATTTTAACAAAATTTTAAATGAAAAATGGCCTTCTTTATTAAAGAAATCCGCAAAATTTTACTTGCCATAAAACAGTTCTCTCATGTCATAGTATTTTGTATGTTCAATGAGACTACAATACATCATAAAAAAGCTATGCGCGTGTTTTAAGCACCGGAGTAATGTGTAACGTAGCCATTGTACAGTCCTACAAGTAGAAAAACTATCATCTGGGTAAAAGAAAAAAACAGCTGAGATCATCTGATCGAAATACTCCACTTTCCCACCCAGGAATGTAAATATAACCTATATGAATAGCACTAAAGTTTATTGTTAATAGTATATAAAAGAGCAATTTGTATTTTAACTATATTTACGTAAATATATTTAAAATGTTCTCAAACAGAAAAATTTAAAACTTCCTGTTTTCTTTGTTGCGGTAAATTTAAATTACATCACAAAGGGTTGGAAGCAATAAAAAAATTTCTTTAAAAGTGTATTTACATTACATTATCATCCATAAAACTGAATATCCACCTTTATTGTTTTTTTAATCTTAGTCACCGTCAAGTGAGCTAAAGAAAGTTTAAAACTTTCACCGAATATATATTTAGCGCGGCAACACACCCAACTTAATACTAGGAGTTTTGCTCGATATTCAAAGACAACCCGCTGTTGGTGCCTATCCTCAAATTCGCTCTTTCATTCCATTATATTCTTATTGTAATTTCTTTCCTTCACACAGCATTAAACTAAATATATGTGCGTGAAAAAGTTAGCTTATATGTGTGGAAAATATAAGTTTTGTTCCTTGTAGGTTCGTACAATGGTCATTGCAGAAACATCAATATTTTCTGTGGGAAAAAATAACGTCTACGTGAACAAAAAAAAACTTTTCTTATTTTTGAAAGAATAATTAAAACATTTTCAGAAAAATTTGGTGGTTAAGAGAATTTCGATATTGTTAAGACAGTTTCAACGCTACGCAGCTAAATAAACCAAATAGCGACATAAGGGATATGAAAGCTGATTTAGCAAGGTCGCACCAACGCAGCCAACAGCAGCAACGATCAACACAACACTTAGATTGATGTTACCTGTTGACCTAAACAGGGTTAGATCGCCGGAAGGGTGACAGTCCTTGGGCGGATAAAATCCGGGTCAACTCCGGTGCGTAAAACCGCTACTGTTTAATTTCTACGCTAATTTCGTATACCGATGATAGCACGGCCAGGATATTAATGACCTTTGTCTGAAAGTGAACTGGTATTTCCGATCTTTTTCACTTTATTACTGCACGACAGTTAAAAATACAACCAACTAAATCCTCGACTACTCTCTTCGTCAGCTGGACTAAGTAGTACAGTCTTCAATTAGATGTGAAGGTCGACGACGTAAAACTTCCAACAATAAATAACCCAAAGATATTGAGAGCCACACAAGATAGCCTGCACTCCTTCACGCCTTCACTTCGCATACGACTGCAATTGCCGCAAAACTCCAGAGTCGCAACAAAATACTGACTGCGTGACCCTGTCACAACTCAGGTCTGGATACTGTAGCAGGTTAAATTCCTACCTATCCAGAGTCGACTCCAGCATACCCAACGTATGCCCTGCATGTGGGTGGTCTCCGCACGACACCAGCTCTTCACATTCCCCCATAAGCCGACATATTTAACTCCCCTCTCCCTCTGGTCCAATCCCGTCGAAACAGCACGTTTCCTGGACCTCCCATTGGATGACCTCTGCGCCTTACATTGATTAAATCTGTCTCTAAGCGGGGCTAGTGAACCACTGCAACAACACAAAAACTGATACCGTACGTGAACGAGCTTTAGCTGTTAAAGAGGATACGCCGAACGCCTTGCAATTACAGGATCCATATTTGAAGAATATCATCTAATCAATGAGCAGTGACGGACAAGAAGCAACCCAAGCTAAGATGAATTTCGTTTGTACAAGAAAATAAAAAAGCGACAAGAAGCTCGTCTTATCTCAAGAAGTTCGATGGAGTACTCTCCAGGCAGGCTACTTTGGAGTGGAAAATATCATACATACCACGAATGCAGAAACACTTTTGGCTTAGACGTATGAGACGCTACGTAAAACGCATTACCAGGACGGACAACTTGTGGTAATCGATAGCTTTAGATCAGCTTTAGCTTTAGATATCCGGGTATCAACCACTTTACGAAAACTAGTAGACGTCATCAAGTAGAGTTAGTCGTGAACGAGCGGTGGAAAGAGGCAGAAGGACCGACGAGACAATTTGCTATCCGACATTAAACATTAAACATTTTACATTTTAAACATTTACTTTGTTATTTATTATTCTTTATAAACCTTTCAACCGATTTCGGTAATCTTTACATAAAGAATTTCTCACACCGATGATTGATTTATACTGTTATATTGCGATGCAGACGCAGATAAGGGAGCTACAACTTGTCAAAACAGCGCATTGAGATTGTAATTGATAATTTATTCATGCTGCATGTGCGCCAAGTGTAATTTTTTTTTCAATTATAACTGCAAAATCTAAGGGGTTCAAATCCAATAGTTTCCACAGCAGACGTAACAATATTATCCAAGAACATATTACCGACAGTCCTTTAGCTCCATTCATAGAGACTATATTGGAACATAACAACCACATATTGCCGACGCAAGACCCAAGTAATCCCATGCAGACTCGACCAACGTACGCAGAGCATGCAACTGTAACCACATCTTAGTATGCCCCCTTAAACGACTTTTCAAGCTTGAAGCAATGTTGGCCAAATCCCACTTTCGTAAAACGTATGTTTAGCACACCCCCATTCTTTTGATTCTACTGTTGAAATTGGACTACACATTTAATTTTCATTCAACTGACTTTTTGCGCCACGGCGGAAATGGAAAGCAACATCTCTTCGCCGCTTAAAAATCACATCAAATACATATTCAATACAAATGTTACCGATGAAAATCATAGTTCTATTCTGAAACTGCCCAGAAATCGCTGCCATATAAATATTGATATACATACGAGAATGTATGTATAACCAAGTCGAATTCATAAAATAATATATTATATGTGCATTCCTTTCAATGAAATTAGTTTACTTACCCATTTCCGATCCGCAGTCTTGGGGCTGTCGTTGCTGTGATAAAATATACACCGTTTGGGCTCCATTCGAAGTACGTCGTATCAGGACATTTTATATCGGTAAGTTTTTCTTTTTTCTTTATATCCCATATTTCCACGTTCCCTGGTAAATTTCCAAAACCTGCTAAAGCTACAAGTGCAGTGTAGTTAAGGAAATTCTTTAAAACAAAAATTACGGTTTCAAATTTAAATAAAATAGTATATGCTTTAGAAAAGGATATGATTTCCAAATGGATTAAAGTAAGCGCAATTTCGCGGACCTTCCCCAAAATCGAAGACAACATCACATTTCAAATTATACAGAGCTGCTTTGGATGGCATAAAACCATAAACAACAACAAATTCAGTTGCTTTTGGACTCCATTTGACGCAGTGAACAGGACCTTCTTTTGCTAAAATAAAGGAAATTAGAAAATTAAGTGTTAGAAATTAATTTTTTTTTAATAAGAATACTATAAGAAATATTGTAAATAATGTATACGATTTTCCATGGAATGCAATAATTTAAATTGTGGCTGACTTATGCTACAACCGTAGCAACTCACTTTAATTCATCTACCATCTAGTTATAGCGGTTTGTGAAATACTGTTTTAGCGGGCTGTTTGAAATATTCCCAATAATTCTAAATAATCAAAAAATTTGTACTTTTCGGCATATTCTACTAAATTTTACTGGCATTAACGACTAAATAACAAGGTACATGTTATATTCAGATCCACTTCCTTTAATTTCAGGTTTATAAATGCAAAAAAAAGCTTGATTATGTGGCCCATGAAGATGTGCGTCATCTTGGGCTGTTAAGAAACAAGGCTGCTTAATGACAAAAACTAATTTATTTCATTCATTTATTATTCTATAAGAAATGCTAAAATGTTTATTTAAACAATCTTATATTAATAACTTATATAGCTGACGATTCAATAAGCACTATTATTTTTTACTATCGATTTTTTTATCACTGGTTATATTGCAAACATTCAGTTACCGCAAAGCTGTTACTTCTGACGTATTCAATTAACAACATAATATTTGACGTTTGGTATAAACGTTTTTCGTCTTCCATTCTTATTATAAAATTTTCTATAGTTTACTTTACAAATATTAAATTTACTTACACAATGGTACAGAGCAAGAGTCCCCTTTCGTAGCCATAAAATGCAATGCTTGATTTCCATAATAAGATGCACCACTTTTATCAACTTCAGTAGACGTCAAAAGTAATACACCAGAACCACGTTTATTCCATAACAATTCAACACGATCTGCTTGAAAAAAACTTTTGCATGCAATAGCTTGATTGGGTGAGAGTGAAGGATATTTATAAAGTTTGCACATTGACGGTCCTCCCTTTGATCCAGGTGTATACACCGCAACACAAGGTGGACAAGCTCCTGGAGATAAGGATACTACAGCACCTCTACTACCACCAATTTTACGAGTAGAATGACTAAAATTTTTACTATCACCAGATACATCATAAAATAATGCTTCACCGCCTATAACTATGGCAAAAAGTGATTCGTCAGATGACCACGACGGTTCCCAGTCAGTTTGATTCTTTTGCACAACATCGAACATTTGTAAACCAGAACTTAGTTCATATATAAACATATTAGGTGAACCTTCTGGTTTATCTTTGGTCACAGTATACAATTCCCATGTCGACAAATAGTTCCCAAGCGGTGAGAATTTGAGGTAAAAGGCCTTTGGTCGTGGCAGCGTGCATTTAATCGTCCAATCTTTAGTGTTTATCACTTTAATTTCATTCCCATTTGAATAAGCGAAAGAGCGACCATCCGAACTAAAGGATATAGATCGGCAGTTCCTGCTATCTTCTTTTGGAAGATTTGGTTTATACTCATATTGCAAATTCGTACTTTCGCAAGACCATACCTCCACTCCAATGCTAGAACGAACTGAAACGAAAAATATTCAATATTTTATCGAGTTTTGACTTACACAATTATCCTGGTAGATGAAAACAATAACTTACCTGCAATTGCGGGACAAACGTTAATAGCACAACTGTCCAAAGCCATTGCCAAATTCTAACCTGACCAAATGTTTATGCAGTGTTGCCAAGCACCATTATCCAAATCCAGAAAAAAAAAATTCACATACACATGTACCAAGGCTTGAATCAATGATTTTGTTAATTTAAAACTCTGCATATTATGGTAAGTGCATACTATCGAACAACTAGTTTAGTATGTCACTTCTATTATTGCTTACGTTATTAGGATTAAAATTCAATTACATATGTTACTGACCATCACATCACCGAATAGAACTTATATCTGTATATATCTGCTGGTCATCGCGGCATGGTTTAGCGGTAAACTCAATTAAAATAAGTTACTGACAAAGGAAAAAGAAAAGTAACCTGAATCAACCAAGTCCCATCGGCTATTGCTATTAAACTCGAAATTAGTCGGATGTGGTGAATATTTGGCCGATGGAACCTCAATAAGATATAAAGCATCCCACTGCTTGTGGAGGAGGGCGAGTGTAGTAGAAAAATTTCTGGCTGTTTGTTGAAACTGGACCGTTTAAACGTGTAACTTTCCGTCGCTTCGCGTTTACATTCGTATGCCTTATGAACAGACATTGTTATGGGTCATCAACAAACCGTCAAACCAAATATGTCGGAGCGGTTGCATTGAAACTTCCTTCAAGGTAGGATAACATAGTATATGTTTCATGTTTGAGCTCCCAGCTGTGATCACCTGATCGATTTCATTTTTTCCTTCAGCTGTCATTCGTGGCTATATTTTTCATGACAGCAATGAATTGCTCTCAAAAACTTGGACTGATAAAAGAAACTTGATAAGGTTAAAGAAGCAAAACAAAGCGTGAGTTGGGTTGCATAATTCGCACACTACACATTGGTTTGTAATCGAAGCGCAAAAACCTGCCTAAAAATTGCACTCTACAACACTGCTACTGTCGTAAATTTATTTTGTTTTCGCTCTTATTCTCGTAAAGAATCTCAGTTCAATTAAATAAAGAAAAAAATCTGATTATGGTATATTACATATATATCACACACACATCTATATGTATAATATAATCAGAAATTTTTCTGTACATATATATATCTTAGCGCTTTGTAAACATTAACTTAATTTTTTTTACCCAAAGTATTTTTGCATAAGCTTGTATGTTGGTTAGAACTCGAACACAGGACCTTCCACACTGTAGTATGTGATGCTAACCATTCGACAACAGTGAGGGCAAATAAACAAATAATCTAAAATTATATTATATAGGTTCAAAAAAAAGTAAATTAGTTAGCTATAACTGAAAAAGCTACATTGAACACTTATTTCTTTGCTTGAGCATATGTCTACAGTATTTTGCTGTCCAACGATTCGCCAAAAATTTGTAGATTAAACTTTACTTACATGACGATCACCGAATCATGTTACGTTGAGTACAACTTACGTCGTGCGCTGAAACTATCCTAAGGTTTTATTCGCCGTTCGAAAAAATTGAAATAAAGCCTAACAAAAGCTGAAGCGTATGGAAACTATTGACAATTTGGGATTCCACAACCGATATGTTGAAAATATGTTCTTTTCCGCTTAAACCTTCAACATGGTAGGTGGAAATAATGAGCGTTTTTGTATTTCATTGGTTTATTCGTTGGAGAATGAATTTATTGAAGTGGTTTATAAGCATGAATTAATGTAGTTTTTTCTTGTGTATTTAAGGGTCGTGTTAGAACGAAAACTGTGAAAAAGGCCGCAAAGGTTATCATTGAAAAATACTACACGCGCTTGACGTTGGATTTTCACACTAACAAGAGAATATGTGAAGAAGTTGCTATTATTCCCACTAAGCCTCTGCGAAACAAAATTGCTGGGTATGTTTGTTTTCAATTACTATAAACAACTTTAATAACATTAAAATTTCAGCTATGTTACTCATTTGATGGGTCGATTGCGCCATTCGCAAGTTCGTGGTATTTCTATCAAACTACAGGAAGAAGAACGTGAACGTCGTGATAACTACGTACCGGCTGTTTCTGCTTTGGAACAAGATATCATTGAAGTTGATTCTGATACAAAGGAGATGTTGAAATTGCTTGATTTCCATAATATTCGTGGTTTGCAGTTAACCCAGGCTTCGTCTGGTGGAGCCTTCAACAGAAGAAACTAGATTTTGTATTACATTAAATTAAAATAATACAAAGACCTTTAAAATTGAAATGGTAAATATTTATTTGACAAGACAGGTTTGATGCATTCTGTTTCCGTCGAAAACTTTGTTTTGCATACAGTGATATATCGTAAATATTAGTTGCTTATTTTAAAAACAACTTTACACATAATTGTGGTAACAAAAACAAACAAGAGGTATATAAAATGGTTTCAGGTGGTGCATTATGTTTAAAGAATTGATGCTTTGTGTTATAAAGCAAAAGGAAAAAAACCTTAAATCCTTAATAGACTAAGGTCCTTCTTCTTGAGACCCGGTTTTTATCTTGGTTTCTATTTGATCTGCTTTCATATTGTAGCTAGAAAACCAACGCAGTAACTTGTTGTTCAATGATGACTGCAAACTTTTTTCGGAACAACGCTGAAAAATTGCATTTTTTTTTTATAACATTTTCCAACCTTGATACTAAGGTGCAGAAAAAAATTTGGTAATTTTTTTTGTAGACTTTTGGAACATTGCAAATTCTACACCACCATTGAAGTATGTAAAAGACGCGTTACCGACTTTATTTTTAGGTGTTCGGCTCCCCAGTAGGCCTGGGTGATATAGGTCTTTATTAAATAAACAAAATTCAACAAAAGCTTAAAAATTTGTGATCTTTAAACTTGACTACTTAAATAAGCAAGGGTAATAAACTAATCACATTTCAATGGTATAAAACTTTACTGGCGTAGACACCGCTCATGTGACCATAGCCGATTTACGACAGTCCGTTATTAGTTTATTCTTTTTTGCTGTTTGGCGCCAATTGGAATTGCCAAGTACAGCCAGGTCCTTCTCTACGAGGTATTTCCAACGGATTAGAGGTCTTTCTCTTGCTCTGCTTCCACCGGCGAACACTGCTCCTAAGACTTTCAAAGTTGGAGTGTTCACATCCATGCGGATTACATGACCTTGCCAGCAAAGCCGCTGCTTCTTGATTCTTGAACTATATCAATCTCGCGTTATAACTCGTACAGCCCATCGTTCCATCGTCTGCGGTATTTGCCGTTGCCAACGCAAAAAGGGCCATAAATCTTACGTTAAACCTTTCTCGAAAACTGCTAGCGCCGTCTCATCAGATACTCTCATCGTCCATGCTTCCGCACCATATAGTAGGACGGAAGCGATGAGGGACTTATAGAGTTTGGTTTTCTTCAAATTAGCAATATATCAATATTGTTGTGCCTCGCAAAGTTTTTTTTTTAATATTTTTGAGATGTGCTGCTGCTGCAACTGAGAAGCGTCCATTCTACTGAGTACCCTTAAATATAAATAATGCAAAGAGTAATAAAAAATGAAGTAGTCAATTACTCGACAATATATTATTACCACAGCTTGTGCACGATCCTCATCACATATTTTTCACTTCTATCTGCTGCGGAAAAAACGATAAAAAATGGCGTTCTACTTGAAAATCAGAACAAAGAAAATCGGATAATCCGTCCAACTGCGTTCTTCTTCAATTTGTATGTATTCAGATGAGAAAGGTAAACAAAAAAAATTGCATTTTAGTGCTGCCTGAACTCGTGTGAGTGCATTGGTGAATCCATCAGACCGTTCTTGCAGGGATATGAGTTTCTGTCAACTTAGGGGCACAGCGAATAGGATTTTGTGAATCCTTGTTAAAAAGAATAAACTATATCTGACCAACTTAATGAACGCGAATTGAACTTTATTTTTTTTTTAATTTTCTAGGCGATTTTCTAGTATTTTTCAAGAGATGGGGCTATCATTAATAACAAAAACATGGATGGTTTTTTGAAATTCCTAAAATTCTTACTAAATTAAAAAATTGGACCCTTGGTAGCAAACGAAAGCGTATAAGGCCAATATCACCCCTACAAGATCCCTGAACAATAAAGTAAGACAAGGGATGGGACCAAGGCTCTCCACCTATCCTTGTACCACAAGAGTCATAGAACTATTTCCTATTCTACATCTACGGTTTTCATCGCAATAGTCCTCAACTCATACTATTTCATCAAATTTTGGCAAATATTGCATATGACCCTTAAGTGTCATTTCATCACACAAAATGGACAAAATGACTGAAGCCCCGACTTCTAAGCTCAAAACAGTTAATGCTACTATTGTTACAGCCTGGATCGCGGGGCCACCCAGGAACGAACTCCTAGGTCCTCTCCTTTGGAAACCTAGGGAATGGCTTTGGATATCTATAAGCTAATGGGGAAAAAAAGTATACACCTAAAGCCAAAGATTTAAAATAATTGTCGTATCCACGATCTTTGGGATGGCGGCTAGAGTTTTAAAACTATTTCTTATTATTGATCCTATTTGTGGAGGAAAATCGCTACAAAAATCTCCCATCCTATCGTATCTTTCAGGTATTTCCCTAAGCTTTCTCTTCATATTTGTATATTTCCTCGCTAACTATCCCTGAGGTCAAACTGAAATTTGTTTCATTATTCCTCCTTGGATTCTTCTGCTATTGATGCTAACAAAAGAAGATTACCGGAATCTATAACTGACTCCGAGCTGTTTTCTTCAACTGGATAAAAATCAACTAATTCCGTAACCGGATTTGGATAAAAAAACTACCAGAACTGGGTGTTTCCGCCAAATTCCTATCAGGAACGGCTGTGGCTACAAGCTTCTTATCCATCTTTATTTTCCCGGAGAAATGCCTATCGCAAGCCAACAGGTGTTGTTGGTGTTGTAACCGCAAAATTATTCCCCAAAGTACTTTTTGGGGAATGTTGCGGGAGGGACAGTCCTTGGCCGGATAAAAATTCGGGTCGTTCTGGTATAAAGACCCGACCGTCGCGGGAACTATTGGATTTTAGTCGCCTCTTACGACAGGCATGCCTTACCGCGGGTAAATTCTTGAGTCTCTGACCCGCAGGGGTTGCAAGCCAACAGGTATTTAGTGTTGGTTTGCCCTACACCTAGTCGCCTAACAGAAAGTAAAAGTTCTTACAATATGAACAAATAAAAAGCTATTTTAATTTACATACAAACATCAAAAACTATTTTCTAATATAATTTCCAAAAACACAACTAGTCTTATAGGACTTTTAAATTATTACTTTCTAAAATTATAAGAAAAAAACACCGTTAAATTATTATATTAATGTTAATTAAGATTAAACTATAATTTTATTTACTGGTCCTTCTTTACCTTTCCTTCTCTTTCGCATGAGGAAACTTGAAGAAGTGTTGTCCTTCCTTGCATCCAGCCACGCATTTTCTCACCTTTGGCATACTTGCTTTAAAAACGCACTCACATTATAAAAAAGCCATATTTGATGCAAATAAAAATACGTACTAAATTTAATCTAAAATAAGTCTCACTAAATTTAACGTTCTAATCTCAAAATACTACACAAACACCGCCGTTTATAAATCGCTCATTTTTTGATATCAGCCGTTAGAAGTTCCCCGATCTGACACTGCTGCCAATATTAGAATAAGAGATGGAGCTGAAATTTGAGTGATTTTGAGTAAGTTTCGTATCTAGTCATTTTTTCTTATGTAATCGGCTGTTGTAGCAGTAGCCTCGCTTAGAAGCAGGGAACAGTATAGGAGCGTAGGTTGTCGATTGTTAATAGCGGATATTTTTTACACCATCAAGGATAACACAGGTTTTAGCTGTAACTATGGTGGAGTAAAAAAGTGGGAAGGGTAGTCAAGATAGAATTTCACTTGTCCGATGGTAGCATTGAGTGATTAACGCTGTCAAAAGCTTATGACTGATTCAGTACTACCAGGGGAGTTCGCGCAATGCTGTTATGGTACTGTGCACTTTGCAGAAGCTATGCTGATGTGCGGCTTGAGTCAGATGGGGTGTAAAAGTCGGAAGCAGTAAGTCCTAAGTATGTTCGCTACTGGGGAAAGGAAAGATATTGGCCGATAACCATCCCCTTCTTTCTCATTTCCCACATTTCGGGTATTTTTAGGGTGGTCAAAGACAGACTGAGGACCTTGGTGAGAAATCCTGCTCCGCTGCTCATCTCTTCTCATGTCATGTCATCTCATCTCATCTCGTTTTATCTCCTCTAGTCTCGGCTCGTGTGGTCTCGTCTTGTCGCGTTTTGCTTCGTCCCGTCTTTTGTCATTTCGTTTCGTCTCTTCGCGCCTCGTCTCGTCTCTTCTCGTCTCGTCTTGTCTCGTCTCTTTTCGTCTCGCTCCCGCACCTCTCTTCTTGTCTCGTACCGTATCGTCTCGTTCCTTTCCGTTCCGTCTCGTCTCGTTTCGACTCTCCTTCTTTGGTCTCGTCTCGTCTTGTGTCGTCTCGTCTCGTCTTGTGTCGTCTCGTCTCGTCTTGTGTCGTCTCGACTCGTCTCATGTCGTCTCGTCTCTTCTCGTCTCGTCTCTTCTCGTCTCGTTTCATCCTTTTTGCTCTCGTCTCATCCGTTTTCTGTCACCACGTTTCCTCTCGACTAGTTTCGTCTCATCTTGTGTCGTCCCGTATCGTCTCATCTCCTTCCGTCTCCTTTCATCTCGTCTCATATCGTCCCGCCTTACTCAGTCACCTCTCATCTCACTTCGTTTTCCCTCAACTACTTTCGTTTCGTATCGTCTCGTTTTGTCTAGTCTTATCTCATTTAGTCTCGTCTCGTCTCGTCTAATCTCGTTTCGTCTCTTCTCCTCACGTCTCGTTCTTTCTCCTCTCGTTTGGTCTTGTCTTGTCTGGTCTTCTCCTGTCTCTTCTCGTCTACTCTCGTTACGTCTCTTCTCCTTTACCTCGTCCTTTCTCTTCTCGTCTACTCTTATTTCGTCGTTTCTTGTTTCGTTTAATCTCTCTTCTCTCGTCTCGTCCCGTATCGTTTCGTCTCTTCCCCTCCCGTCTTGTCTCGTTTCTTCTGTCTTCTGTCATTTCGTTTCGTCTCTTCTCCTCTCGTCTCTTCTCCTCTCGTCTCGTCTCCTCGCGCCTCGTCTTTTCTCGTCTCGTCTCGTCTTGTCTCGTCTCGTCTCGTCTTGTCTCGTATTGTGTCGTCTCGTTTCGTTTCGTCTCGTCTTTTCCGTCTCGTCGTGTCTTTTGTCTTCT